CACTGTAATAAAAGTATATACATCCGAAATAATAACAAAAGAAAAAAACAAGAATTGTCTTGATATAAAAATATATTCGATGGCAAACTAGTTAAGAAAAAAAAAAAACAAGAAGAGAAAGATAAAGATTTTGTTCAATGTAGTTTGTTTTTTTTTTGTTTTGTTTTGATCAACGTTTATTTGTGTGTAGCTATCGTTCATTTTTCTCTTTATTTGGCCATTTATTGCTCTATTTCTCTTTTTATCGATGTTAAACACTTCTCTAGTTTTTTTTCTTCTTTCATTATATATATACAAAAAAAAAAAAAACATCAACAAACGACAAACATTGTCTTATTTGAATAAGTACATATGGATTCTAGTAGTCTTTTTTTTGGTGTTATTCTAGATTTAATTTCATTTAACTTGGAAATAGACGTACAAATTTATATATACATACATAACTGGTGAATTAAACTATTATAAAAGTAAGGTAATATTTTTTTCATTTATAGATATTATATTATACTTAGGAGGGCCCTCTTCAGAAAATTCATTTTCTTTTTTTTGTAAAAAATGGAAGTTGAATTTTTATCATAGAAAGATGCAGTGAAGTTCCCTCTTTCAGAATATATTTTGACTTTTAAAAAAAGACCAAATTGTAACAGACTCTCCGTAGAGGATTTTCAGCTCACTATCCGGTTTTTGGAGATATTTTGGCTGTTTTTGAGAACACTATTTTGCTACTTCTATCAACATGGAATAGACATTTTCATATGATATATTACAGACTATGAGACTAGCTTACGTCATCTATTGCGTACTTTCAAAAATTTCCCATAAATATGATCAATATCCCATTATTTCTGGATTTGAATAAAAAAATCAATTTCAGAACTTGTTTTATTATTTTTTTTCAAAAACATGATTTTTGATTAGAAAAATGGAAATAACTTCCGCACGATACTCTTCGTTTGATTGAACTGAAAACAGTTTTTTGTTCATAATAATAATTATTATTTTTTCAAGAACCAAAAAAAAGAAAAAAACATGACACCTAAACCGTAAATAATAATATTTTTATAGATGAGTCAAGCTCCACATCCATTTACACAAGCAGCTAGTCAAGGTTATGGTGATTATCCATCAACATTAGATGATGAAGATCAAGATGATATTAATGCAATTGATGAAGAAGAACACCAACATCTAGAAGATGATGAAGAATTAGAAGGACCACAATCACCTGAACCTGAAGAACAAGAAATAAATGAATTTGGTTAATATACTCTTATACTTTATATAATAGAAAGAAAAACTAATAAAACAAAAATCTTATATCTAGGTTTTACTCAAACTCAAGAACGTTCATATCCAACCGGTATTGAATCTCCTGATGAAGATGAGAATGAGGAACAAAATGAAACATCTGATAATGAACACGAACAAGAACAAGAAGATGATAATGAAGAAATAGGACCAAGTTCACCAGTAGCTGATGATTCAAATCAACAACATGAAGTAGTAGAAGAAGAAGAAGAAGTAGAAGAAGTAGAAGACGAAAAGAACGATGATGAAGATCATGACACAAATAGAAAACAACAACAACAACAATCTCAATCACATCAACGTCGTCGAGCACACATTATGGATGATTCCGATGATGAAGAAGAACAACGATCTGAATCAACTAGTGTTGTTAGTAAAGAAAAAAATCGTAATTTTCTTAAACAATTTACGTAAATATTTCAAATAGAAAAAAAAAAACAATAGTTAATTTTATGATTTCTATTATATTATTTTTATAGAATGAAAAATGATGATGATAATTCACATAAAAAACATAAAAAACGTCATAGTGATGAACATCAACATCGTCATGATAGTAAATCTAAACGTTTTCGAAAAACTTCCAATGATGAAGATGATGATCATGATGATAATACTACTGAAAAGCCACGAAAAAGAACTACAGACATTGTTGAAGCTACGTATGTATACAGTAAATCTTTCAAACTTGAATTTCATACACAAAATCAAGAGATACGAGTTATTGACGATCAGATTTTAAGCTAATATCTGAAATGTTGATTGTTTCGCTCTACTCAAAATTCGTAGCAAAAAATTTTACACTATTACATAGAATATATCTCAAATTATATTGAAATCGATGAAAAACTGTCTTTTTATTTTTATAACCTAATGTCTGCTTAGATGCACACTAGAGCCCATTTAGCTCAAAATTTTTAAATTCTGGACTAACCTAACAGTTTCTAATATACACTGTATTCTTTTAAAATTATCCTAGTTTGGACACTGAACATGTCAGGTAAAAAAAAAACGATAAATAATTTTAAATAGTTTCATTGCTGGGTATAAGATTATATCGATGGAATTTAGTGTTAATATGGAATTTTTTGTTTAGATCTGATGTTGAAGATGTTGTTGATGATATATTTGGAAAAGATGTTAATGATAATGAAGTAAGAGAAATTATTATCTTATAATTTCTAATTCAATATTTATTAGGAAGGAGGTGATGATCGAGAAGAAGTTGCTGCTGAATTAGCAGAACTTAATGATGATGAAGTAGTACAAGGAGAAGAAGAAGAAGAAGAAGAAGAAGAAGAACGGGAACAAGATGCTGAACAACAACAACAACAACAACAAACTTTTGATACTGAAGAAAATGAAGATGAAGACACATCAACACGTAAAACAAATCAGTCTATGTCAAAAAAGTATAAGCAAAAACTAAGCATATCATAATATTTCTATATAAAAAAAATATGTCTTTGTGTTTTTTTTTTCAAGTAATATGGGTTATGATATCGATTTATATTTGGAAAAAAAAGCTGAAAAACGTCGTGGAAATCGACGTCGTGGTGATAAAAAAGGTGATATAGATTTAGCTGGTCCCGATGGTGATGAACTTGTATCAAAATTAATTGATCAAATGAAAATAGCTACTGAAGAAGATCGAATATTTAATAAAAGTCGACAACCAGCTACAGCTAAACTTCTTTTATTACCAACTATTGAACAACATTTATGTCGAGCTGATTTAACTGATACATTTCTTGAAAATGGAATATTAAATGTTCTTAAAGTAAATATATGATGATAAACAAAAAAAAAGAGAAGAGTTTTTTTAATATTATTTATAGGATTGGCTTAGTCCTCTACCGGATAAAAGTTTACCTAATATAAAAATTCGAGAATCACTTATTAAAATTCTTCAACAAGTATGTTCAAATAAATTTCATAAATGTAAATTTTATATCTTCTATATTTTTTTTTTGTAAGTTTGGAGTGATTGATGGTGATCGTTTACGTGATAGTGGTATTGGAAAAGCTCTTATGTATTTATATAAACATCCACGTGAAACAAAAGATAACAAAATAAAATTAATCAAAATTATTCGTATGTTTAACATGATTGTTTTTGTTTTTGAATTTTTACATTATATAGAATTTTTTGTTTGTTTGTTTGTTTTTTTTTAAGATGATTGGGCACGACCGATATTTAATTTAGATACAGATTATAAACTTTTAACACGTGAAGAACGACAACAACGTGATGTTGATCAAGCTTCATTTAAACGACAAACTTCATTAACAGGAAAACCAAAAAATCGAAGTGCTGATGTAGATTTACCTTTTGCCAGTGATAGGTAATTATAATTAAGTTTTGATTAGAAATATTATGTAGAGATATTCATCATCATCTATAAATCTGTCGCGATATTATTCTGATTTTTATACTTTGTATATTTTAATAGATTAATCATAATGAACACTTCGTTTCTCATATGAAATTCGACAACAATCTGATTTATTCTTTAATACTAGAATTCGAAATATGCATGAGGTGATAGTGACGTGACTTCCCATCAGTCGCATTTATTAGGAATTGAAGACCTTATATTTGGAGTGAAAGACTAAACACAATATCTTCACTTATTTTTCGACCGTTAAAAGACAATTGGTTAGAATCGAAAGTTCAATATTATACTCGTAGCAATGAAAATTCACTAAGCTTTACATTAAATTAGGATAAATTTTAATCAACATTTCTTATGATCTAAATTTTTAAATTAAATAAACGAATGTCAAAATGAGATGATCAGACGAACAATATATCATAAACAAAGAATCTGTCGACGATTTTTAAAAGACCTAGTAATAGAGTTTAACAATGACTTTGATACATACGCAGATGTTGCAGTTCATCAAGTCTAATGAAATTGATTATTTAATTGATATAATTGTATTAAACAGATATGAATCTGTTTAGTTCCATCAGATGTATTATTACATAGATAGAGAAGAGCGAATATATTGTGATTATTTTTTATTTATCAAGACGACAAGATGATGATGAATTAAATAAAGATGATGATTGTCCACGAGCTCGTGTTCCACGGCCATCAAATAAAGATTATGTTGTACGTCCGATATCGGCTGTTGAATATTCAGAAAAAAAGGTTTGTTTTTTTTTGTCATTGAAACTCTTCTATCTTTATTTCTTCAATTATCTAGGGTGATGGTAAAAAGAGAACAATATCACGTTTAGATAAAATCAAACGACAACAACAAGATCGAAAACGAAATTCAAAACCAATGTCTATTGTTAAACTTAGTATTGAAGGAAATAAAATGCATTTGTAAACCGAAATAATTCTTATTTTTCTTTTTTTTTGTATTCATTAAATTGAGAGAAAAATTTAAAAAAAAAAGCCTATTCATGTATGTCATGTTTTTGTATTTATCTTTCTTTTGTTCATAAATCAAAAAAAAAAATCTATATGTTGATCTTTCAGTTCTAGATTTTAGATCTTTAAACAAAAAAAGTCGTTCGTACAATCTGTGCAGCAGTAGTTGCTTTTTTGATAATTACTGAAAGATTATTTTTGTTATATATCTATTTCAAGACACATTTCTTCATTTTACTTTTATTTAATCTTCGAGTAATGGAATAAAGAATTAGTTCATATATATTAGAATGAGATGTTATTGATATACAGACTGTGATCATATATCAACAGCATCTGTCACGTCCATAATGCATCATTGTCGATGACGGAACTACTCGAAGTAGTACTCCCCGTTTGAACTCATGTTGAATTCACAAGCAGGTTTTCGGAGTCTCGAACTATGACCTTTTTTTTACTGCATTTTCGCTTCAGTTTTAAGTATCTACCAAAAAAAATCAAATAATGGTATTTCGATCTGAAATTTCACTCATAGATAGATCTGTTGAATCTGAAAATACTTTGAAAGTTTAGCAGAAAAATAGTTTCCTCGTGAGGAAGAAATCCGAATTTCTACATCTATACCAGAACACTCCTTTTAGATCGTGTTTCATAAAACAAACATAAGATGACAATAAACGGTGGTTTCGTATTAAATGGAAATCAATCATTTCAAAATTTATATGGAACATCATTAGAAATGTGTTCTAATTCACCATTAACAGGTTATTTTCGTAATGGTAAGAAAAAAAAGAAATTCTGATAAAATCAAAAAATGATTTGTTAAAATATTATCAGGTTATTGTGCAACATGTCCTGATGATTATGGTTTACATACTATATGTGCACAAATGACACAAGAATTTCTTGATTATACAAGTTCACAAGGAAATGATTTAACTACTGCACATCCACCTGTTTTTCCAGGTCTTAAAGAAGGTGATAAATGGTGTTTATGTGCATCTCGATGGTTTGAAGCTTTTCAAGTTGGTAAAGCACCAAATATATTTGCACGAGCAACAAATTCAGCAAATTTACAACAAGATCAAATCAATAGTTTACTTTCAAAAGCTATTGATATGATGCAACATTAAATATTGTTATTTTTATTATTATTCAAGCAGAAATATAGTTTTTGATTATGAGTTTTCATATAAAATAGTGACAGTAAAGATCATTAATTTTTGAGAATGTATTTAATAACTCAATTAAAAATGATGATTCTGTTCATTGTATTGACTGATGTGAAGCTAATTATAAATAAATAAATAAGTCTCAATATATTGTTTTGTAAATTAATCTTACTTGATTAAGTGAATTTAATAATTGTTCTATTTTATCAGGAAAAATATCAATTGGATCACGATATTTTGATCGCATTTGTTCATCAATTAATTCTATTTCATTTAATTTTTCTAATCCTTAAAATAAAATTTATTTCAATAAAAACATATAATATAAAAATCTAGTCTAACCTAGCCAACGTTTAAATTTATGTAACATAAATAGTAATATTTGATGATTTTCATTAAGATTAGATTTTGCATTATCTCGAACAATACGAAAACTATCATTGATTATTGTAATAAACATACTCATACAAACAAAAACAACTACTAATATAAATATACTAAAAGAAAATGGTCCAAGAAATGAAGCAGCATTTTGTAATTCATATGCATTAAATTTCATTAACATCATTTCAAAAAGTAATTGTGATGTATGTAATAATGTTGAACAACTCCAAATTTTTCCAACAAATAATAAATAAAATAATGTTAAAAAAGCCATAAATACAATGAAAAACATAAATGTAAATAAAATTAAATCTTTCATTGCATATTGAAGAGCGTCACTAAAAAGTGACAGACGTCGATGAAATCGACAAAGACGAAGAACTTTTACTGAACCAAAAAAACAACAAAAACCAAGTAGAAAAGTTAAAACATCATTTACATATACTGCTAATTGTAGATTAATATAAATATATCCATTTGTTTCTTTGAAACGATTACCAATACGAATCGATTCTCGATATCGCCATATATAAACACCAAATATTCCCCATGAACAACCTATGATACCAAGTTCAATATAAGACCAAAAACGTAAAAAATAGGACCATTTCATTCGAACAATATTTTGAATTTCGATGATCATATAATAAAGAATAAAGAAAATATAGATTATTGTACAAACTAATTGAAAAACTGATGTTATAGCTAAACAATAGAAGAAAAAATAAATAAAAACCTATAAAAGAAAATAAGAATATGTATGTAAACCTTGAAAAGATAATGGTTCAAATCGATGTTGTGGAAATAGACCACCCGTTGGTAAGAATTCAACAAGAAGAGTTACACAAGTAAATAATGCAACATTCGGATTATATAAACTTAATTGAATAATTACCGCTCGTGTTTGACTATCAATCCAATTTAATCGATGTAATTCAGAAAGATTACTTCGAAGATCTGTTAAACGACCTCGATATTCATATACATAACCACCTGAATTATATGTTTCATGATCACCAATATAAACATATGTATCAAGTTCATCTCCAGTTCGATACATAAAAGCTCGATGAATTGATGAATTAGAAAATTGTGATGTTTGATTTATCCAACCAGGTTCAAAAGATTGTTTTTCTTCATTATAAAAACTATAATCATGTTTACAAATCGATGATATTTGTGTTTTACACGAATCTATTTTAACACGTAACTGTCTCATTATTGCCCATCCAATCAATCGATTTGATTTATCATTAATAAAACCACTTAAATTTCGAGGTGCTTCACCATTATACCATTGTTGAGCACGAATATTTGAAACAAAACTATTTTCTAACCAATCCCAATATTGATTAACCGTTAAAATCTATTCATTTTAATATTACCATTGTATAGATAAAACACAAAGCAAAATACTTCTTACTTTTGTATAATCTCTATCGATTTGTTTTGTATTCAAAAAGAAATTTCGTAAATGTTTTACTTGAAGAAATGCATTTGAATTTATGTTTGAATAAGTAGTGAGATAAATCATGGTTAGAAAGCATAAATAAGTTAAAAGTTCTCGAATGATTGACCACATATGTAATTCTTTTAGACGTCGATCACGTGCTCTAGCTAATTCATTTTCATCTAGACGATTAACACGATTTTGTGAACGATAAGTAAACGGAGATTGATTCTATAAAGAATTAAGTTTTTCAAAATATGTTGGAAAAAAAAAAACAAAGTACGATGATGAACTCTTAAAAACTTAAAATTCAGACAAGTGAAAAAAGTATCGTATGAATATCTCCGATACCAAGTAACCATTACAAAACAATTCTTTATAGAAATATTGTTCCTTTATTCTGATTTAGATTTAACATGACTCCGTGAGTGACTTTTATTGTTATTAAAACAGTTTTTTGTTCTGAATATTCGACATGTAACAACACATTTATTCCATCCACACACACGTTACAGATCTTTGAAAAAGCTTTATGATTATGTTAAAAACTAATGTTATACATGTATTCGAGAAAAAGTGAGACAATTACGTAATAAAATTGAAATAGAAAGGCAAATGTAACAAAAATCTATTTAGCCGGTTTAAATCTGAAAATCTTAATGAAGAATGATAATGCAGGCGTTATTGAAAATGATGTTTTTGATGCTAAAAAAAGGTGATGAATGCGATCGTTATTTATTATTCAAAATCGAAAAAAACCAACAAACTATTCAACCTTTCCAATTTTGGAAACAACATCAAAATTAATTGCCATTATCCTTCTGAACTAGCTCGATCCATTCTATTGATTCTTGTAAGAGCAATGAATGTTGGAAAAGGATTTCCATCAGTTGAATGAACTTAAGACCACTAAAGGGCAGAGGTGAAACTAGATGAAGTAGAAAAAAAGGTTGTTCGTAAAACCAATGAAGACGTAATTACACTATAACTAAAAGCACATGTGATCTTTCTGATTTTCTCTCTCACTCGTGTTTAATTCTTATTTGTGATTAATCATGTCTTGTTTTTTTGCTTTATTCCTTTGACAAATAAATATCAGCTTGATAGAGAAAGATGTCCTGTACATATCTCTGATTTTTAGCACCTAATATTCTTCTAATAATTGGATTAGAATCGTATGATCTTAATCCATCATACAGTTTTAACAACTTTTCTTTGGTTCTAGGAAACGGTGATCGTTTCTGCTGTTATTTTCACTGTTTTATAGAATTAGAAAATACGACCACATAAAAATGTCGGTTTTCTTGAACTTATACTGACCTTAGTACTATAAAATATTAATTTTTCTCTGAGCCAAGAGAAAATATAAATTAACATCATTGATTGATGATTTTGTCCAACAACTTTGATCCGATAGTTTTATCAGATGGCATGTTAGAATAAAAATGGGAATGAATACATGATAGAAGATAATAACTATAAGTCATGGCTTGTAACAAAATTAAAAAGATCAATGCCTTTGTTCGATTGAGAGGCGAAACTGTTTTCCTGCTTTACATGGACAATAGTTTTCCTTAATCATATGAAATAGTGTTGATGTAATCTGAAAGATTTGAATAATTCCACTGCTTCTCTGATGGAAAATATTTATGATAACTTTTCTCGTTGTTTTGAGCTATTGTTTTATGTGAAGATTTGGTACTCTATTACTCTTATGAAAATAAATTAAGTAAATAAATCAAACTAATTGTATTGATAAATTAAGATAAAGTGATAAAATATAATAAATTTGCAAAATCAGAAACATCACTCAGTCTGAAAGCCACTCGTTGACTTATAATCTGATCTTCTGGAATCCTGAATTAGACTTGAGCAGATCGAAAAAAAGTAACTTGTTCATAGATCTGCATTCGACAACTTGGAGTAACTGATGAAGGAACATTCCCAGATGTCAAATCGTTTTTGGATCGAGTATATGCTCAAATGATAGACCTCAACGAGTCATCAAATACTCTACAAGGGTTTGGTTTTTCAGGCCTTCTGAGCAGAAATATACGATTATTACTATTAGTAGTTTTGTTGGACTACGATAGTAATGCATTCTATATCTTGACTAAATATGTATCGATCAGGCTCAAATTTATACAAGTAGTAAGGTACTCTGTACTGATTAAGATTCCAGAGTTTGAAGATAAATCATTGTTTTTTT